GGTCCGCCTAGGTAGAGGGAAGCTTTTTCAAGCATCCTTATTTTCAATTCTGGTCAGCCCAGTGGTGGAATTCCCCTATCCTGGCTTTGCTAATACCTGTTGGACATTGGAGTTTGACACTGGAGAACTGGTCTTGTAAAAAAAAGTGGATCAATAGGGATGACCGGATTGGAGTGGGTATAGCACAGTCTCACAGCCAAAAATCTCAAACTTCTACCACCAACAGCCTTGACTTTGAATAATACCCTGGATTATCTGGAATGACAGTCAACAGGATCGATGTGAACTGCTGTGACCCATTCCCAGATATCTCTACCTGCTATCACTGGCATCATATTCTCCTCACATTCTATCCGATGAGGTGTTCTTGCAGGACAGAATGTGAGGAAAACATCATAGTAGTGTATCTTCAAGGAGGTCTCCTTAGATGTGGTAATCTTTGTACAGTCACCTTTCAGGAATACATCCAAGAGACTCTTTTTGGTGAAAAACCTTGGAAGGACTACCTGAGTCCATAACCTAAGTTTTTTTCCATAGCAAAAAAAAAAAAAAAAAAATCCTTGGATGAATTCCTTGGAAACCTTTTTGAAGGAGCTTTCTATCCAAGTAATACTCAGATCCTTTGATCCCAGGAAAACTGGATGGCAGAGCCTTCTTAGTGAAATAGTCAACCTGGTCTTAAACCACATGACATACAGCCAATATATTTGTGTTGGATCTGGGAATCCCACAAACCATCAGATGTCCAGGGCTCTTTTCTAAGGTCAATGAGTTAAGACTTTCAAGGTCCCCCCACCTTGGAAACAAGCCCTCTTACATTGGATGTGAAAATCCAATTTTTTTGTAGGATTCACAAGTACAACACAAATATTTTGACAGTGACACATATACAATCAGTATTGAAAATGTCTTGGATAAAGGAACTTGAATGTTCAAGAAGATTCTTGAGTCAAACACCAAAGCTTTTACTCAGAATTGGGAGTGACTCATTAAGCAATCCTTGATAGCTTAGCTAATTGTCCAAGCTTCACTGCTAACCAAATTATGCTTGAAAACTGTATCCAAGGTCTCATCCAATGCAACTGTACCTTTATTCAAGGTTCCCCCACAGGTGAACCCATACTTGTATGGTATAATTTTTTCCAACATGGCCTCAGACACAACTTTTCAATACAAATCTTCTGGAAGTGCATCACATCAATCACTTACCTACTTCTTTCTGCGCAGTTTGGGATGGCACATGATGTAATTCACCATAATTGACCTATCAGTAGTTTTGATGTAACCTTATCAATTTGACAAAAACCAAAAAAAAAAAAAAATCCCCGTCAATTTATTTGACTTTTTGGCTGAGAACTTAACATTTTCCAAATCTTTTTGAGGGTTTCCAGCCACAAGGTCAACTAGGTGAATCAGCTTTTTCAGCAACCTGCTTAGGTTTTCATACCATCATTGTTTTTTGACAAATAGATTTGAAATCTGTCCACTTTTTTTCAAGTCAGTTCGTGTTCTTAACTGAAGGCTTGAATGCTCATGGAAAGTCTTGGATCTCTACAGTGAATTTCCGGCTGATCTTGTAAAATTTTCATGATCCGTGTGGTCTTTCCTTGGATTTCCAGACTGATTACTTAATTTAGAGAGACCAAATTAAATGATGTGTTTAATTGAAAGGGGTGGTCCGCAGTTTTGCCGAGACGTTGGCCTCGATTGTGTATCCACACTTTTTTAGTGTCACTTGTTTGTCTGAACCTTTCTTTGTCTTGTGCTCAAGTCTCACCAGAGAAGGTCGTCTCATTACCAATCATATCCATTCATCATGACTTCTCCCTCTTCTTCAACACCAAAAATCACAAACACTCCTAAACTATCCGGTCACGGAACCGCCCGTCACACACCCAATCATTCTCTCTCTGGTGTCTCGGCCGCCAAAGCAGCCCTCGCACGGTCCACTGCCACCGGTCTTAATCGTCGACCGACTCTCAGCTCAATCCCTTCCTCTGCCTCTCCTGAAGAACGAGAAAAGGCAGTAAGTTTGAAAGCCGAATACGACGGTCTGCTCGCTGCCGCTGAGGAACGTGAGGCAGTAGCGGCGAGGGAAGCACACGCCTGGAAGACTCGGGCGAGCGAGCTAGCCGAACAGATCGCAAGGGTCGAAGCTGATTTGGCACGGCTGACGGAGACGGACGATCAGCTCGGTAAACTATCGAAAGAACTTGAACGAGCTAGATCGCTGGCTAAGGACCATGAGCTCCAGCTCATCCAACAGGTTCGTTTTCAATCAAACATTTAATCCTACCTGCTGCTGTCTCTCGACCCACTCTTACTGATAGGCTTTCTGGTCTCTATCTTTTGACTCATCCCACTTCTGTCCCCATCACACACATGCACACACATACACATATCTCGCACCAGAACGAAGAATTTGATGCGGCTCGTACTATCTGGGCTGAAGCAGAGAACGAGCTCAAGGGCCGTATAAATGCTCTCGCCGCCGAGCTAGCACAAGCCTCCAAGCCCCACTCGCCTCCACCCGTGAACCCCGATGGCGAGCACGAGCAGAAGAATGACGGCGAGCCAGGAGAGATCGACTTCCAGCGCTCGCCTGCTTTCCGCGCCCCAGCGACAGCCCCAAGTCCAGCCACAACCGGACGCTCGACGCTCGAGCTCGAGGCAGCCCTCGCAGAAGCACGCAAGGAAGCATCAGAAGCCGAGGGTCTACGGAGAGCTATCGGAGTTCTGAGGGATCAGTTGGCGGACGCGGAACGAGTGAACGAGCAGCTGATGGACGACAATGAGTCATACCAGTTTCTTGTTGGTGAGCGTACGCTCATGGGCGGCTTCGACATCAAGCAGCTCCTCCGAGTCGATTCTGAGACGCCGGCCTCGGCATCTGGCTCTTCCTTGGCCGATGTCGAGGAAGAGGAGGAGGAGGAGGAAGACGAAGAAATGGACGACATCGAGCGTGCTGTTCTTGAGTCTCATGGTAATGGCTCTCGCACTACGGGTGCAGTAGAAGCGGAAGTGAGCACGACGAGACATAAGTCAAAGTCGGCTGCCTCTGCTATCGGCGGCGGACTGGATCTAGCGGCTGAGCTTGCACAGGCTGAGCAGTCGGAGGAGTTGGAAAAGACTGAGGAGCGAAGAAAAAAGAAGAGCTCAACCGGGCGCTCGAGCACAAAGGACAAGGACGCTGGTCAGTATTTTCTGCGTCTTACTATGATCAGTTACTGCACATAAGTACTGATGGTGGGTTCTGAATTTCAACGAAACTGAACGAATACCAGAGATCAAATTCTTGACCGACGCCAACAAAGCCCTCGTACTCTACATCTCCAAGATCCTCGACCGCATCCAAGCCCACGAAGGTTTTGAGAAAGTTCTTGCTACCGATTATAAGAAGGAGCCCAGCCCTATGTCAAGCCCGTCGAAGGGCGCTGCTGCTGCTGCCAGCTCTTCTCCAGCTACGTCGACGGGAATTGCCAGCACGTTCTTGAACGCTCTCACCAACAAGTCTTCATCATCCACTGCCGACCGCAAGCCCCTCAACCTTGCTGGTACCTCCTCTACCGGTTCCGCCCAGTCCGCTCCACGTGCATCCTGGCTTCAGTTCTTTACGGCCAGTAAGTCTCCATCCGCCAATGCAAACATCAAGCCACTTAAACTCGGCACCACTCAGGCAGGCTTCAATGGTGGCTGGCAAGCTGTGGGTGCGAAGGAGGGAGACGAAGACGAGGAGGACGTACGGGAACGCGAGCGACTTAGAGCTGAGCTCAAGCTTCACGGTATTGACAAAACCACCTCCCCGACCCTTCCCCGCGCTGCCACGCTCGATGGCTCAACCCGTGCCTCTCGTCGAAGCTCGAGTCTCTACGGCGCTGGAAGCATAACGAGTTCAGGAGGGAAGCGGATGTCAGCAGAACAAGTGGTGATGGGTTCACCTCCACCGATGACTCCTGCGGCCGCTCTAAAACGTTCAGAAGAGCGCGAACGAGAATCAAAGGCCAATCTCGAGAAGGGACAAGCATCAGGTTTCACAGAGATTGAGATCAGGGGCTCAAGACTAAGGCCAGCCGGTCATCAGCGACTTTCTGGCACTGTCTCACCTACCTCCTGTGCGCTATCGGGAGGCATGAAGGACCTCAAGATATGTACTCCCACCGAAACGACTCCGCCTGGTCCTGCTTCCGCGTCCGGTGACGAAGGTATTCTTGCACGCACGGCAAAGCGGATTTCGTTAATGAGATCTTAGCCACTCGAATCTTCGATTGGTCTTGTATGTTGTTTGTGATAATTGCTAACTAATTTTCTTTATGGTTGCGTGGAGTACTTGGAGGGCACTGGGTATTATTATCTATTTGACATTTTTTTTTTTTCATCTTTCTTCTGTTATATTTGTTTGAGATTGATTCTTTCGATTTCTTTGGCCCGTTCCTTTTTTTTTTGTTCTTGTCATGCCCGGTTCTTGTGGCCTCTTGTTGATGAGAGAGAAGGAGGATGATTAATGACGAACAACTGATGATTTTTTTGAGAGTTGATATCTGAGATGCGAGTTACAAATGAGTCCTTTGATTGGAAAAATTTGTGCATCCAGACACTTGCACCTTTTCTACATGCTTCTGGAACCTAAACTCTCCTCCAGTGTATATCACAATGATTGATATATATATATATATATATATATATCAATAGCAACGCTTTGATCAATGTATCAGTAGAAATAAGCTGTTCTTTCTGAATATAAATTTCAGCAGAAATCATTTTGACAAGGCTATGATTGAGAGATTTGATTCAAGCAGGATGCCCCAAAGATATATACTTCCTACCTACCTTGATCAGATAAATTGAGAAGGTCACAAAAACCATTTATTTGAGGGTAGTCAGGAAAGTGAGATAAAAAGGTACATGAAAAAAAAACAAAAAAAAAAATCTATTGATTTCATTGGTAGATCTTATCATTTGAGCTCTTTGAGATGTGTTTTGAAATGAAAAAAAAAAGTAAACGCCCAATGGGGGGCTCGAACCCCCGACAATTCGATTACCATATACCTGAACCGGAGTTGGTATGACTTTTTTTGTAAAAGTCGAATGCTCTACCGACTGAGCTAACCGGGCTGATGAACGTTTTTTTTTTTTTTTTTTTTTTTTTTTT